TGTGACAGTAGTGGTGATGTTGATAATGTTATAGTGGTGTGATGTGTGACAGTAGTGGTGATGTTGATAATGTTATAGCGGTGTGATGTGTGACAGTAGTGGTGATGTTGATAATGTTATAATGGTGTGATGTGTGACAGTAGTGGTGATGTTGATAATGTTATAGTGGTGATATGTGTGACAGTAGTGGTGATGTTGATAATGTTATAGTGGTGTGATGTGTGACAGTAGTGGTGATGTTGATAATGTTATAGTGGTGTGATGTGTGACAGTAGTGGTGATGTTGATAATGTTATAGTGGTGTGATGTGTGACAGTAGTGGAGATGTTGATAATGTTATAGTGGTGTGATGTGTGGCAGTAGTGGTGATGTGTGACAGTAGTGGTGATGTTGATAATGTTATAGTGGTGAGATGTGTGACAGTAGTGGTGATGTTGATAATGTTATAGTGGTGTGATGTGATGGTGACCGTAGGTGATATAGGTGTGACAGTAGTGGTGATGTTGATAATGTTATAGTGGTGTGATGTGTGACAGTAGTGGTGATGTTGATAATGTTGTAGTGGTGTGATGTGTAACAGTAGTGGTGATGTTGATAATGTTATAGTGGTGTGATGTGTGACAGTAGTGGTGATGTTGATAATGTTATAGTGGTGTGATGTGTGACAGTAGTGGTGATGTTATAGTGGTGTGATGTGTGACAGTAGTGGTGATGTTGATAATGTTATAGTGGTGTGATGTGTGACCGTAGTGGTGATGTTGAAAATGTTATAGTGGTGTGATGTGTGACCGTAGTGGTGATGTTATAGTGGTGCGATGTGTGACAGTAGTGGTGATATTGATACTGTTATAGTGGTGTGATGCGTGACAGTAGTGGTGATGTTATAGTGGTGTGATGTGTGACAGTAGTGGTGATATTGATACTGTTATAGTGGTGTGATGCGTGACAGTAGTGGTGATGTTATAGTGATGTGATGTGTGGCGGTAGTGGTGATGTTATAGTGGTGTAATGTGTAACAGTAGTGGTGATGTTGATACTGTTATAGTTTTGTCCTATGCTCGTGTCAGAGTGTTATTGTATCAGAATGTCACTTTATACGAGTATATATGTGACTATGTGTAACTTCCAACTGGACTTTACCAAAGAAAACCGCGGACACACACACACACACACACACACACACACACACACACACACACACACACACACACACACACACACACCTTCCTGGTCACATCTTGTCCCACCTTAATGAGGAAATAATTGGAATAAAGGTTTGTATTTAATTGTTGTCTCAGGTGTATAATAATTCGCTCGTTGAAGTGTTGGAGTGTATGTCTGTTTGTGTGTATATTAATGTAGAGAGAATTGCTGTTAACTTGGCAGATAGATAGATAGAAAGATACTCAAAATACTCAAACATATTTAGCTGGAATCTTAAAAAAAATACTATCTCACTTTCTGCTCATCACACTAGGCAACAACTTAAAAAAGAAATCCGTAACGTGGTTCAGAGCAGCTTCCTTTCGGTAATTTTGAGGTGCTGGTTTCAAATCTGTCAATAAAAATTCTCTGGTACGCATAGTTTATTTTTTATACCCAAAACTATATCTTACAAATAGTATTTTTCCTTTTATTTGTGTTACTTTTTCCACTTCATCACATTAAATTCAATAAAGAATGAAAACAATCATAAGAAGACACAACAAGTATTAAATTAGGCATTTGTTATTTTATTTAATCCTTTCATGTGTTATATTGTCCTCGGATTGTTAAAACCAGTAACCAGTAATAAGAGTGCGGAGGTCATATTGCAACTATATCTTGCGTTAGTCAGGCCGCACCTCGATTATGCTGTTCAGTTCTGGTGCCCTTATTATAGAATGGATATCAATTGAGTGGAGTCGGTGCAGCGAAGAATGACGAAAATGATTCCGGGACTTAGAAACCTTCCATATCAAGATAGGTTAAAGAAACTAAATTTGCATTCCCTAGAAAGACGAAGAGTGCGGGGAGATATGATAGAAGTATTTAAGTGGGTGAAAGGAAACAATAAAAGAGATATAGATAAAGTTCTTTTAATATCCGAGCAGAAAACAGCAATATTTCGTGAACCATCCTTGAAGGGGTCGCAGGTATCCGGCGTTGCGGGGCCAGAAGTAACGGTAGTTAATCGCCGATTTCGCACCGGGAGACGCTAACCAAAAGAATGTCTGCCACAGCAAATATAGTCACAACTGTGTACTAGAGTGAGGTTAAGGACAACATTTCCTCCCACTTGCTGTTCAGTATTGCTAACCTTGCATTTAATATATCCCTACCAACACAAGTATCTATATTCCTACACTACATATACTGTACACATGTATAATAAAAATGTTACGTGACTGACATTTTGTATTGCCATATTTTAAACCAGCACCACAAAATTAATAAAGTGCAGCGTATTTGATCCATGTTACCGAACCCTTGTCCTAGTTGATGATCATTAACTGCTACATAACTTTGACCATACATAAGTAGACTCTGTAACTTAAAATTAACTGTACGATTATGTAAATGGTTCAGTAAATTCAGCTCATGTAACTGATTCTGTAATATTTATGGCTTTAATCAGGGAAACTTAATATTTTATTGAACAAATGTTTAACTTTTGTCTGATCGGCAAAATGTGATGTGATTTGCATGGTAATTTGAACTCATACGTTATTGAAGGTAATCTTTATATGTAGGAAAGCAATTCAATCTTATTTATTTGGATTATACATACACAGTGATTAAGTACTTTTAATTATACATATTCATAAAGAAAACTAACGTAATGTAACGTAAAGTCAGGGAAGGGGGAAGTGATCGATGATATTGAGGAAATAAGCAAAGCATTAAACAGCTACTTATTATCAGTTTTCACAGAAGAAATTCACGAGGAAATTCCAGAGGTGGAACTGATACTTAGGAGAAATGAAGAAGAGAAATTAAAGAATATCAATATCAGAAAAGAGGATGTTCTTAAGAAGATAAATAAATTAAAGAAGACAAAATCCCCAGGGCCGGATGAAATTTCCCTAGAGTTTTGAAAGTGTAAGGAACAGATTAGCGGACTCCTCATAAATTTATTTACAAAATCATTAGACACGGGAGTTGTGCCAGACTTGTGGAAACAGGCAAATGTAGTACCCATATTCAAAAAGGGAGACAGAGCATCAGCGTCAAATTACCTGCCGATTAGTTTGACGTCAGTAGTGGGGAAATTTCTTGAATCAATTATAGCAGAGAGCATCCGATGGCATTTAGAGAAAAACAAATTAATCTACGACTCTCAACATGGATTTACAAAGGGAAAATCTTGTCTAACAAATCTGCTGATGTTTTTTAGGAAAGTTTTCGAGGTAGTAGATAATGAGGGAAATTACCATGTTATTTACTTAGACTTTAACAAAGCGTTTGACAGAGAACATAAGAAAATAAGGAGTCTGCAATAGGCCGGTTGGCCTGTGGATGGCAGCTCCTGTCGAGAGTTACTACCACTCTCTATCATCCATGAATCTATCTAGCCTCCTTTTGAAACTTTCCAACGTTCCAGCACTTACTACAAAGTTGCTAAGCTTGTTCCACTCGTCCACCACCCTATATGTGAACCAGTTCCTTCCTATCTCCTTCCTAAACCTAAACTTATCCAACTTAAATCCGTTGCTACGAGTCCTATCCTGCTCGGATATTATAAGAACTTTATCTATATCCCCTTTATTGATTCCTTTCAAACACTTAAATACTTCTATCATATCTCCTCGCACTCTTCGTCTTTCTAGGGAATGACGAAAATGATTCCTGGACTTAGAAACATAAGAACATAAGAATGGAGGAAACTGCAGCGGGCCTATTGGCCCATACTGGGCAGCCCCGTTTACACCCAACCCCTTCCATATCAAGATGGATTAAAGAAACTAAACTTGCATTCCCTAGAAAGACGAAGAGTGCTGGGAGATATGATAGAAGTATTTAAGTGGGTGAAAGGAATCAATAAAGGAGATATAGATAAAGTTGTTATAATATCCGAGCAGGATAGGACTCGTAGCAACGGATTTAAGTTGGATAACTTTAGGTTTAGGAGGGAGATAGGAAGGAACTGGTTCACAAATAGGGTGGTTGACGAGTGGAACAAGCTTAGCAACTTTGTAGTAAGTGCTGGAACGTTGGAAAGTTTCAAAAGGAGGCTAGATAGATTCATGGATGATAGAGAGTGGTAGTAACTCTCGACAGGAGCTGCCATGCGTAGGCCAACCGGCATATTGCAGACTCCTTATTTTCTTATGTTCTTATGTGTTCTTATGTAACGTAACGTAACGTCACGTGACGTGAGATGACATAGTTAAACTTCGGTTATGTTTAGATAGTAAATGAAGTCTTAAATTAAATAACCAATTTAACCATAATAAAAAATAACAGTACAATAATAATAATAAAAAAAAATACTTTCCTTGTTACAAATGTGTGTGCATATAACACACACACACACACACACACACACATGAAACTGGACCCCCAAAAAATTATCACCAAAACATGTATGGTATCAAGATCAAGTATAAAAGTATTTATACCATAATTTACGTAATGAGTGAATATTTTTTCCCTCTCTGTCAGCGATTAATTGATTATAATCGTGTTTGGGAAAGTTAATACAATTGATCAGATTAATTCTCTCTCTCTCTCTCTCTCTCTCTCTCTCTCTCTCTCTCTCTCTCTCTCTCTCAGCACAGTGGTCACAAGTCGCGGTCATTGTTACACCGCCATACAACGGGCCGCCGCTGACCTTACCATGATCCTCCACTTATTAATCCCCCAGAGAACGACGCTCCTAACGCCCGTATTATTAAACAGCATCTTCCCTCTCTGACGAAGAGTCTTCTTGAAGGGATTGTTCTTTCAAGCGATATTTTTAATTGCTCGAACCTCTTCCCCTTCGTGTGGGACCAAGTAGGGTAATACTGTCCACTTACCTGATGCATTACGGGTCGTCTTACTCTGTGTTTGTTTACCTTCGTTGGCGCTAAAATTAAGAGTTCGGTGGCTCTCATCATGGACATTTGTTCCTCCCAATCATCAAGGGCAAGTCCTATATCGAAGAGAGAACGTGATTTATTAGTCCATTTGATTGGGGAGGAAAAGATTTTACAAAATAAAAATACTTGTGGAAAGCCTGTGAGTCACAAACACGGGAACTAAAAATTTTCTATGGTTTCCAATGTAATTTTCAAATATAACTAATGTACAGTAATGTATAAAATAATAGGAAATGGCTTTTAAGTGCTGATATGCCTTATTATATTGTCATAGGTTAAAAATTGTGGTTTTCAGAGAAAGCAAATTTATAAACGCCACAATTTCAATATGTTTTATAGTGAGACGGTCTTGCTTATGGCAAATGTTTTAAAAAGTTTTATAAGTTAAAGTTGAGTTAACTTAACCTAACCTAGCATAACTTATCACATGTCGTGGGCAAACTTATTATTACTGAGACGGGGGAAGCTGCTGTGAAGTCCTCTATATTAGCCAAAATATTGTATCATATATGCTTAAGTCACATCATCATTAAATAATCAAACTCCATCTCCCAGTGAACTACCTTTATTATGCACCTAATTCAGTCAAATCTAAGTTTACCAAAACCAAATACTGTAATTGGTGACAAAAATTAGAGCCTGCAGTATTTCACATTCTATATCATGATCCACTGTATCAAAGGTGTTTTTGTATGTAATGTTACCATCCTTGTAACAATGTCCTCCCAGTGAAATTTGCCTCTATCCATTTTAATATTTCTAGGCAAGAATCTTGCAATTTTATATTTTCCAGACAGAAACTCACTTATAAAACTGTTAAAAAGTTTAATAAATTACCTTAAATGTGCTTACCTGGTTAGTACCAGCGTTAGTAACATGAGATGACTCCAGCAGCTTGCATTTGGCAATGACAGGAAGCACAGCTTTTGCAGATGCCATAATATGACAGGAAGCACAGCTTTTGCAGATGTCATAATATGGGCCGCACAACCAATAATGTAAAAATATGGATTTATAAAATTTCTTATAATTGTTTCTTTGTACATTAATCGTATTTACTATAAATATTCAATAAAACTAACAAAATAATTATGAAGAGGGTGACGAAGATCAGCTACAAGTTTCCTCTTCAAATTTCAGTAATTTTAGTTCGTTTTCCCGCCACCACACTCCTCCATGCGCTGCAGTAAAAGGTCCTTCGCGTCAATCTCTCCCTCACCATAAAAACACTTCAAAGCTGTTTCATACACTGCGTTACTTTATAATTATACTCTTATAACAAAATCGATATCATTATTTAATAGGAAAACGTGTTATTGTGTATTTATTTTATAACGAGTGTGGGTTATAGGTCAGGCCAGGCAGGTAATGATAAGTGAGGTTATTTGGGTTTAACCATCTCATTAAGTGTGACAGGTACAGGTGGGCTGGTTAGTCTTTATAGACTAACAGTTCTTACGAATATAGAATGGAGGAAACTGCAGCGGGCCTATTGGCCCAGACTGGGCAGTCCCGTTTACACCCAACCCCGATCGTTCATATATCTATCCAACCTATGTTTGAAGCGGGGCCCGGACAAAAGCCCCCAAGGACAAAAGCCCCCGAGGACAAAAGCCCCTGGGACAAAAGCCCCTAGGACAAAGCCCCTCAGTAAAAGTGCAACATAGTACAGAAGCCCCCTGTTTTTATGTTAAAAAAAGGGTCATTAGAAATATTAAAAATATATAGATTTAGATGTGAAATTATTACAATTTAAATAATTAGAATATTATAACTCTTTCACTTTTGATATAGAACATTATTAACAAAAATAGAAAAGAAAAAAGACGATACATTTTACCTTCATGTTCATTCTGTATTTACTGAGGTGACCCGAGGGCCCAGTGAGGTCACTGAATGTCAGGGGAGTAATTACCCCAGTAGACAAAACATACGTCATTACAGATTTAATAAACATTCCTTGTATACTTCTTTATAACTATAACAGAATTCCCGAAGGTTAGGTTAGGTTAGGTTAGATTAGATTAGATTAGATTAGGTTAGGTTAGGTTAGGTTAGAGAAGTTTTTATAAACTGTAAAAAATAAATTATTTTAAAAATTCTTATTATTTCTCCTGGCGGACTTTTATCCTTGGGGGCCTTTATCGTACAGTTGGGTGTAAACGGGACAGCCCAGTATGGACCAACAGACCCGCTGCAGTTTCCTCCATTCTTATGTTCTTTTCATATTTAAGTAAATCATCTTCACTGTAAAATATGTATATACTTATAATATAATGTAAAAAAACAATAAATATAAATAAAATAAATAACGAAGTGAAAACCGCGTTAACGTTCTGATATGTTCATATTATTCCAGATGATACTAAATGTTACATAATACTTCCTTGAGATAAATGTACAGTATATATATCAGGTGCCTACAAGAGAGCTCAGGTTCTCAACTGACTCAGCCATGTTAATATTGTTATTATTATCCACTCTATATCTGTGTTTTTCTGGTTGAGTAAACTGTTTCAATATCAAACTCAAGAAAACACTCGTCTGTAAATATGAGTCGTGGATGAGTAAAACAAGTTACCAAATTTCATCATTAACTGAAGAAGTTATTTGTTTAGATTTTTTTATATAATTTTTTTACGATTGTGTTTTGTTTGGTTATGTTTTATGTATTGACAGTTGATTTATTTACACACACACACACACACACACACACACACACTGGCGGCTCAGCAGGTGGGTGGGTGTAGGTGTCTATACAAGTTATTTTTACATTAATTTTAAAGTCTAATAATAATAATAACACGTCTGATGCCCCCCACACACACACATCTTTATAAGTCTACTACCGTCTAATAACATTTCCTCTCCCTCATTCTCCCTCCCTCTCTCCCTCATTCTCCCTCCCTCTCTCCCTCATTCTCCCTCCCTCTCTCCCTCATTCTCCCTCATTCTCTCCTTCCCTCCCTCCCTTCCTCACAGCAATATTTTCCCTTCGACAGATATTAATAAACTGAACGACAAGGACCACAGTGTAGGACCACAGTGTAGGACCACAGTGTAGGACCAGGACCACAGTGTAGGACCACAGTGTAGGACCACAGTGTAGGACAAGGACCACAGTGTAGGACCACAGTGTAGGATGTGACACACCATCCTCCGAGTTTGTGTTTGTCCGGCCATTACTGTCTTGTTGACCCGCCACACCACACACACACAACACACACACACACACACACACACACACACACACACACACACTCACACACACACACACACACACACACACAACACACACACACACACACACACACACACACACACACACAACACACACACACACACACACACACACACCTCGCTCACTGTAACTACTGTTGTGACGTGTGGTGCGAGTTCACACACACATACACACACACACACACACACACACACACACACACACACACACACACACACACACATTCCTTCACAGCCAAGATAAAAAAAAATTTCATTGAATCCCGTCCTGGACCATGGAAAGATATCTCTCTCTCTCTCTCTCTCTCTCTCTCTCTCTCTCTCTCTTCACACCTCCGCCCTAGACCAATAAAAGAGCTACGAAGTGTATAGCAAATATTGTTCCTCCCCCTTATTGGTTCATTAGTGTGGCGTCGCCTCTTTGTTTACACATTAAAAACTTCCCTAGGCAATATAGTGTAGTGTGGTGAGCGAGACAGTCATCACCACCGTGGTTCATAGACCTGTGTACCTCCCTCCATTCCCTCCACTCCCTCCATTCCCTCCACTCCCTCCATTCCCTCCATTCAACTCCAATCCATCCCTCACTCCGTCCACTACTCGACACCTCCTTCACACAAATAAAGAAAAAGTGAAAAAAGAAATATCAATTTACTCTGTTAGTATATATCAATGTATATATATGTATAATTGTGTAAGAATGATTAGATATGTAAATACGAATATTGTGTGTGTGTGTGTGTGTGTGTGTGTGTGTGACTAACAATACAACACCTCACATCAGACACTAATTACCCCAGAGCCCAGGTGTCTTAAGGTATTAAATAATAACCACGTTTAATTAAAAGTGCCAACAATTTTATCTGAGTAAGGTACCAGGAGATGTCTCTTTCTTTACCAATATGACTTGGGACGACTCATAACCACCTGTTAATTTATTCATGGCAAAAGAAGACGAGAATGGGTACGTGTTGACATGAAGATATGGTGGTAGTGTTGGTGATGGGTAGTGTTGGTGATGGGTAGTGTTGGTGGTGGTAGTGTTGGTGATGGGTAGTGTTGGTGATGGGTAGTGTTGGTGATGGGTAGTGTTGGTGATGGGTAGGTAGGTAGTGTTGGTGATGGTAGTGTTGGTGATGGGTAGTGTTGGTGATGGTAGTGTTGGTGATGGGTAGTGCTGGTGATGGTGTTGGTGATGGGTAGTGTTGGTGATGGGTAGTGTTGGTGATGGGTAGTGTTGGTGATGGGTAGTGTTGGTGATGGGTAGTGTTGGTGATGGGTAGTAGTTGGTGATGGGTAGTGTTGGTGATGGGTAGTGTTGTGATGGGTAGTGTTGGTGATGGGTAGTGTTGGTGATGGGTGAGCCATTTAGTGATGGGTAGTGTTGGTGATGGGTAGTGTTGGTGATGGGTAGTGTTGGTGATGGGTGTTGGTGATGGGTGTTGGTGATGGGTAGTGTTGGTGATGGTGGTGTTGGTGATGGTGGTGGTGATGGGTAGTGTTGGTGATGGGTAGTGTTGGTGATGGGTAGTGTTGGTGATGGGTAGTGTTGGTGATGGGTAGTGTTGGTGATGGGTAGTGTTGGTGATGGGTAGTGTTGGTGATGGTAGTGTTGGTGATGGGTAGTGTTGGTGACTGATGGAGACCGTATAATGTTGGAGAGACTATACACTATAATATTCACTCATACACTACAATATATCCACTAACACTATAAATGCCTCCGTAAAAAAACAAGAATAATTAATAAAAAATAATAATAATGTTTTAGTAAAGATAATATCACCTATCAATCTAAAATTATAAAATTCCTCAAAAGTAAAAAAAAAAAAAATATAAATGAAATCCTACATCATATTTTTTTTCAAGCAGAAGAAAACGAGTGATAGATGGTGGAGGGAGGGAGGGGAGACTGTGGTAGTGATGGTAGCAGTAGTAAGAAAAAGTGTCCCCCATAACCATAAATTCAGATGTAATGACAAAATATTTCCTACACCTGTTCCCACACAAATACCTGAGGGTCACTTTTTGTTGTTTATCGGAAAAGAGAAATATTTTATTTGTATTTTATTTGTTGTTAATATTAGAATGTCTGAAATATATGTAAGGGATATTTTTTTTGTTTTGTTTTTGTTTTTCATCTAAATGGTATTATAAAGGTTAATAGTAGACAGTGTTATAATAATTGACGATGAAGAAAACAAGTGAAGAGGTTCTTAGGGTGAGCTATCATGGCACTGTGACACTGAAGGGGTGACATGATACTGTGGCACTGAAGGGGTGACATACTGTGGCACTGAAGGGGTGACATGATACTGTGACACTGAAGGGGTGACATGATACTGTGGCACTGAAGGGGTGACATGACACTGTGGCACTGAAGGGTGACATGATACTGTGGCACTGAAGGGGTGACATGATACTGTGGCACTGAAGGGGTGACATGATACTGTGGCACTGAAGGGGTGACATGGCACTGTGGCACTGAAGGGGTGACATGATACTGTGGCACTGAATGGGTGACATACTGGCACTGAAGGGGTGAAACATGATACTGTGGCACTGAAGGGGTGACATACTGTGGCACTGAAGGGGTGACATGATACTGTAGCACTGAAGGGGTGACATGATACTGTGGCACTGAAGGGTGACCTTGATACTGTGGCACTGAATGGTGGCATACTGTGGCACTGAAGGGTGACATGATGCACTGGCACTGAAGGGTGACATACTGTGGCACTGAAGG